TTGGTTTAAGGTAATCAATACTATTGTTCAAATATTACACATACTTTTTTCCACATGGAATTGCTCTATCAATAATGTAAGAAAAGTTTCAGAATATGTAACTCTAATTTGTATTTTTATTTCACTCTTTCAGTTTTCATTTCATGCATAGGGATCCTCTGTAATTAGGTATCTACATGTTATAGCTTTTTGGTAAATTCATTCCTTTTAAGTTATGAAATGCCCATCTATATTTAAAGCAGTCCTCCCAAAGTCTATTTTATTCTGTTATTAATTTATGTCAATGCCAGCTTATTGTATTTTCATGGTATTTATTTCCCCATTCTTTTACTTTAAACCATCTTTGTCTACTTATTTCAAGGATCTTTTCTTTAAAAAAAATATATATTTATATCTTATTTTTAAAATCAGCTGACAACCTCTGATTTTAAGCTTGTGTGTTCAGTACTATTATATTTAATATAAAATATAACTGTTGCTATTTTGGGTTTGAAGTCTGTTGTTTGCTTTTTATTTTCTATTACTCCAATTGTTCTTTGTCTATTTTTCATTGTCTCCACCTTTCTTTCTCTCTTGGATTAATTTAGTGCTTATCAGTCATGGTATCTCTTCTTTTGGCTTTTTCTCTACTAACTCCTTCATGTATTTGACTTATTTATTTCTTTATCTTATTTTTTACAAATATTTTTATTTGTTGATAGACACAATATCTTTTTAAAATTTATTATGTGTGGTGCTGAGGATTGAAACCAGTGCCTCATGTGTGCTAGGCAAGTGCTCTACACCACACTGAGCCACAACCCCAACCTGACTTATTTATTTTTAATGTTCTTTTCAGGGTTTACTATAAGCATCCTTGGCTTATCATAGTATACCAGGAATTTACATAATATCATAGACTGCATAACCAAAGACTATAGAATATAATATTTGCATTTTTACCCTTCCAGATTATTATGCCATTTGTTTCATCCATTTTACTTGTATACATTTAGGATACTTCCTACAATTAATTTTATTATGTTTTCTTTTAAAAAGTAAATTGTTTTTATTTATTTATTTTCTTTTTTAGATGGAATTTTTAATTTATTTTTTGTATAGTTTTAAAATATTTTATTCTTTAATCATAAAATGATATATAGCCTCTTTTAAAAAAGTAAACTTTTAAAGAATTTCAGAAACATCTAGGCTCCGAGGCTTATGCGTGTAATCCCAGAATCTTAGAAGGCTGAGGTAAGAGAATTGCAAGTTCAAAGCCAGCCTCAGCAATTTAGTGAGGCCCTAAGCAATTTAGAGAGACTGTCTCAAAAAAAAGGCGGGGGACAGAGGATATGGCTCAGTAATTCAGGACCCCTAGTTTCAATCCTTGGTATCAGAAAAATAAAAAATAATTTAAAAATTCAGAAACAGGAACAAAAGTGTTTTCTGAATATTTGCCATTTATAGTGGTTTTTATTCTTTTGTCAAAATTTATCTAGTCTCATTCTACTTCAGACTAAGAAACTTTCCTTATGATTTCCTTGTAGTATTGTGATATAGGATTACAAACAAAAATTATCCCTTTCTCTCTTTTCTCTTCCTTTTTCCCTTTAAACTTTGTTTTAATGACTCTCAAAATTCTGTGACAGATTTTTGTTCTAGTTGTATCCACTGAAAAGTGCTGATTTTAAAAACTATTAAAATACCATACATACACAGACACATAGACACACACATACACACACACCCACATACACCCAAATGGTTCACAAAACACTTTCCTGAAGGTATACTTTCCTTTATATGCCCACAACTACTACCACACTTCCACATTTATCAAAACTACATTACCAGGAATTATGCAATAGGCTCCTAACTAATCTTTTTATCACTAGTCTCATTTTCATGCTATCTATTCTTCACCTTTCTGTCAGAATGATCCATTTAAAATGTGAGTCTAATGGTTTAAGTTTTTCCTTAAAATCTCCAATGACTCCTAGTAGTTTACATGAGAAATGCCAAACTCTTTTTTTATTGTGAAAACTATTTTTAATTGTAGATGGATATGATATTTTTATTTACTTATTTATTTTTATGTGGTGTTAAGGATCAAACCCAATGCCTTACACATACTAGGCAAGCATTCTACCACTGAGCTACTACTCCAGCCCAAGAAATGACAAACTCTTAATGTTAATATTAAAATCCTTCCTTATCTGGTCTATTCTTACTCCTTTATTATTATCTCTTGGAGTTCTGTGACCTATACTCCATTATAGTGCCAAACAAAGTCCTTTGCATTCCTAGAATTCCAACTATAATTTGCTTTTAACTATAAAGTTTTAGCCACACTGAAGGTAGCCATTTTCCTACACAGAACAGTAGAAATCAAGAAAAACCCAGGTTATCAGGCAAAAGTACAAGGTACTGTCTAAATAGAAAGTAGAAGGGAGTAGAAGATATATCTCCCAAAGAAATTTGTTAAAATTTCCCTTAACTTCAATTTATCTTTTTCAAAATAGGCAAGTTCCAGATTTTTTAACTAGGAACAAAAAAATCTTAACCCCTTTTACCTGTTATCCCTAGAGTATACATTAATAATAGCATGATATTTCTTAATTGCTATGATCTAGTGCTATTACGTATATTGACAAACTGTGGCTGGGCTTGGTGAGGCATGCTTGTAATCCCAGCAATTTGGGAGATTGAGATGGAGGATCAGGAATTTAAGATCAGCCTGGACAATATGGGAGACTACCTTTAAAAACAGACAATCAAAAGACTGCAAAATGAAGTAATATGCCTCAGGTTACAAAAGGTGGTAGACACTATTTAATTTCAGGTCTATATGACTATAAAACTTGCAAGTATTTTACTCAAGACTCAAGAGTAGAGACATTTTGTTTTCATGCTATAAATCATTGTTAACCTAAATGATTATCAATATTATTCTAGTTTTGTTGACAAACACAAATTATGAGCACAGAATCTAATGAAAGTATTATTATTTTCTGTTTTAGAGTCAAGCTCCCTTATTGGTGAATAACTTCATCAATATTCTAGTTTTCTTTTTGGTAACATTTTATGGATTCCTTATAGAAGAGAATAATAATTCTTTGTAATAGAAGTAGTGCCTAGTATTTGCAAGATCTTACAAGACATTTATAATGAAACATATGCCCAATGAACTCCTTTGAGTTGCTTCAAGAAATGTGTAATACAAAGGCAAGTTATTGGGGTTTGAAATGTGTTTTCCACAAGTCCCACAAGTTGTTTTAAACACAATTCCATGATAACAGTTTGTTCAGCCAAGATTAACATAAGCCAATACACACATTTGTAGAAAAATTCAACCCAACTACTTTGAGAAACAAGGACATATTTTAGATCAAAATGCCAAAAAAATAAAATTTTCTTAATAATTAGTTTCAAAAATGACATCTTTTAGAGAAAAACTGTTCTTGAAAACACCTCTATGGCCTTATGTTGCATCTATTATACCAGATACTGAGTTATATAAATGGGTAAAAATAAGAAAAGCAGCTAAGCTCAGTAGTTATGGCTCATATTTTTTTTCTAGTTGACATATGGGGCTAGTTGCCTTAAAGGTCATTAGCCACATGTTCTGCAGATAAATCTGAACAACTGTTGCTGTTTAATTTGGCAGTACTGTAAAATATTACAAAGTTCTGACTAAAATTCTCAAAGTTTCCATAACGCCCTAAAACTTAAAAAATTAAAGCTATGTCAGGATTTGTTCTTGTTTTTATTTTGTAAAATCAAATCATAGCAACTGTGGTTCTTTACTTCCTCTAATACAGCTACAAATACTACAAATACCCTTTTCTTATTCTAGAGGTACATATTTATAGGTATATAGAAGATAATAATTTAATTTATATATGTGATTTTTATTGGGACTTTGAGAGAATGGAGAGAAAGTTTTAAGGAATTTTAGAATTTACTAATTTATTTTTAAATCTGAATATTATATAAAAAAGTTAAGAGGCTGGATGAGTACGTTTTTAACAAAACATTTTGGAGGGGTATATTAGTCAAAGACTAGCTAAAATTACAATTTTAGATGCTGATTTCATGAAAAATTCAAACTGTAATATACAGGAAACAAATTAAAGCATTTTAGGGGTTATGTATGCTAAAAGGAAGTTCTTCAACTTTTAGGAATAGAAAATGTTAGATTTAAACCATCAGTATAAAACACATGTTAGAATTTCGAGTGCTTATTTACTCACAATTTGGTTTAATTTTTCAGACACATAGTTTTAAAGTTCCCTGGGCCTGGGTCACAGTCTCCCTTATTCCTAAATTCCTAGAACCTATTGATTCTTCAACAACAAGTTCATATATCACTCAATTCTTCATTTGGATCGGCATATTACTTCTTGTCTACACTGTTCATTTACATGGCCTTGTGGCTATTTCTGAATTATTATCTCAAAGGGTAATTTGACTTTTAAGATTTTCTGAGGAGAAACCCAATCATTTATGACTTGGCATTCTCCCTATTATACTATGGGCACTTCAGCATTTACTAAAACCTGTAAACATAGCTGACTAAAACAAATATACCCTTAAATCGTGGAATAGGGAGACAGAAAACAGGGTAAGATTGTACTGTCTTCAAATGTGAGGAAGTCAAGAACTTAAATTGATAAACCCAGACATAACAGATTAGGCATATGTTTTTCAATATGAAGTTAAGTGCTAGAAAAATAGGTAGCAAGTTGAATGTGACTATCTCTGGTAGGTAAGATAGGTTAGAGGCAGGGGACTTATTTCTTTTAAATTCTGTGCATGTGTTACATTGATAAATATAAAAATTAACAGTTAATTATTGGATATCACCTTTAATACAGTAAGAACGTTCAGTTCATTTTAGCTTGTGTGAAGTGTCCAAAGGTCTTTGGTACCTTAAAGATGATATGAGGGAAAGCGAGCATCCTTTTTCCTGTCACCCTTTAATACTGCCTGGGGTGAATACCTTAGAACCTCCATAATACCTGCAATACTAGGATCTCAAAGATCAGCCCAAAGAGAGGGCTCCTTCTCCTTCCAAATATTCTGTTCAAGACAGCTTCTCAGTTTCAGGAATCTGTTGGGTGGAATCCTTATTTCCTCCTTTTCTAGTTTCCCAAGAGGAAGATATCTAATACTTGTGTTCTCTCCAACAGGCTCTCCAGGAAGTTAGGAGGATCTTCCGGAAGCAAGGAGGAAGGAATGCTTTATAGGTGGGTGGGTTTGAAGGAAAGGAAGAACAGCGCATGCGTGGTTGTGCTCCGGCCGTTTATTTGGAGCACGCACTCCTAAGGACACGAAGGTCGAAGTGCTCTCCTCCATATTCAGCCAGGTAGAGTCTCTTACCTTAAGACTCCCAAACAGGAGGAAAGATGTTTATTCGGCGCTGGCAGGGATTAGATACCCAGTTCTGTGGTTCAGTATTAGGAATCCCATCATCGTTGCCCCGTACCTGTACTGGAGTTTTCGGTGGTTGGAATGCCAACGTTTGGTTCCGTTAGTCAAGTATTCTGTTGTTCTCAGCTATTACTAATGGGACCATATTAAGTCTAGCAAGTGTCTGACTGTGGTTTTCTAAGTTCTCCCTGTGGGTTTTCTGTGGTCAGCTCGGTAGCAATGTAAGTTCTAAATTTTATGGCCTGATAGAAAATTCTTCTTTACATTATCGGTGTGATAAATCAACTACTTAATGAAAAAAAAAATAAAGAGGTAAAGTTATTTTCTTTATTTTCCAGTTACCAACATTGAAAATGTAGTTGAAAGATACACTTTAATTTGGTCTCCTAGGAAAACATGGAAGTTATTAATATGAGGATTCAGTAAAGGAAAAAGTTAATGAAAGTAACATGTTTTCCCATTGTATCCCAAAAGAATGAAGTCAACTCTCATTAGAAAATTGATTTATATAACAAATGTACTTTGTAATACAATTATTGAGTATCTTTTTAAGCCAGGCACTATATTAATGCTAGCAACACGAGAGGACAAAACAGACAAAAAACTCTGTCCTTGTGGAGATTTCTGTGTAATGGATAAGACAGCTATAGAACCCTAAATAGGAAAAATATATAGTGTATTAGAAGGTAATGAGTGTGTAGAGAAAATTTTGAGTATAAAAATTGAATATGGGATTGAGAATTGCAGTTTTAAAACAGTATACCATTTGAGTGAAGGCCTGGATGATATGAGGCAACAAATAATGCTTGTTCTTTAGGACATGAGAAATCTCATAAGATGTGTACATTAACAGAACCAACTTAAAGTGTTTCTCTTAATTCTGATCCTGTTTTTACACTGAAAAGTTTGCAGAATGTAACATCACCATGTTGGTGGTTGTCACAACTACTGTGAACCTGTGAATGCAGTTGTAGCCTCATAGTTCTTTAGTAATACTTTATTCATTCACGTTGATCCTTTGAGACATTCTTCTCATTTGGCCATTCAAAGCATTTTTGCTTTGCAACCTCCTGTAGTTATCCCCTATATTTTAACTGAACACTTAAAATTATCTCTTAATTAAGTACTTTGTAACTATTTAAAAATTTCCTTTAGAAAATTTGTTTCTTTCTAAAACTCTATTTGCACTTTTATGTGTCTTCCAAATTGCTTTTGCAGTTTTATTCATCTTCTAATTCTTCATGTTTCAAAAGATGTGTTCCTTTTCCTTTTTCAAGGATGTTCTGCTTCCTGTGTCTAAGATCCTATATCTTTTATCCTTTTTTGAAACTTGTCTATGCAACAACTCTCTCTTGCCTATTTTTATCATCTCCTTTTATATTTATTCTTTTTCCTATATATAAACATTCATTTTGCTTGTCTTTAAAAACAAACAAAACCAAACAAGGACCACTAGCACAAAAATTTTCCCTTATGTCGTTTTATTTTTCTGTTTTCTTTCATTTCCTAATCTCTTTTTTCAAGAACATGTTTTTCTCATTACAAAATTATACACACACACACACACACATATACATATATACACATATATGTATATCAAAAAACTTGGAAAACAAAGAGTTCAAAAGGAAATATCCACAATAGAACAATAATTATTAATATATTAGGGCATGTGCTTACATTATTTTTCTGATGTTACACCTTTTTTTCCTGTGAAAATGTACTATTCAGTTTACATGTTTTTCATATTGCACATTAAAAATTATGGTATTCCAGACACATCTTCCTATGTTAATATTTTTATTCCTGATGTAGCCATTTGATGTAATGGCTACATAGCATGTATGTTGTACCATTATATAATTATACCAAAATTACCTAGCAAATTCATAATTTTGCTATTGCTACCAGAATTTACATCATGTATTTTTAAAAATCATTTGCCCATTTAAAGAGAAAATCCATGGAGGTAGGGAACTTTATTTGTATTTCTCTTACTCCCTGCTAACCAATGCTTAGAACCGTTCTTGGTACATAGTAATCAATAAGTGATTATTTCTTAAATGCATTAATATATTGTTACATATTTAATTTACTTCATGTTTTTATTACAAATAATACTATAAGAAAATTATTGTACATATTTGTGTGCATTTTTTAGTATATTTGTTTAGTATAAATTATTACAAGTTGAATTGGTAAATCAACTTATGCAAAATTTAAGGTTTAATAAATTGTCTTGTGGTCTCTTGAATATTACCAATGCACACTCTCACTAGTTGTGCATAAGAGTGTCTGTCTAGCAACATTTTTCAGAATTTTATTTTAGTATTTTAACAAATTATTTTAAATTTAGTAGGTATAAAGTAACATTTTTAATTTTAATGTATATTTCTTTGATTAGATGGGTGGTTTCAGGATATAATTTTTATAATTTCTAATTGTTAAGTTTTGTTTTATAACCCAGAATGTGGCCTGTGTTGGTGAATGTTTCATGTGTTCTTGAAAAATCATATGTATCCTGTTGTTGGGTAGAGTATTTTATATAGTGAAATCAAATTGTTGTTAGGTCTTGTATATCCTTATTCCTTATCAATTTGTTCTCTACTTATTCTTTCAATTACTGAGAGTGGAATATTGAAATCTTCCAATGTAAGTGTGAATTCATTCATTTCTCTTTCATTTCAATTACTTTTCTTTTCATATATTTTGAAGCTCTGTTTAACAATAATGCATAAACATTTCTCTGAGAACTGACCTCTATTATTATCTAATGCTTTCCATCATCCCTGGCCATATTTCTTATTCTCCAGTCTTTGTCTGATATTAACATAGGTACTCGGGCTTTATTCTTTTTAATACTTGAATGATATAACTTTTACTTTCATCCTTTTAATCTATGTATGGCTTTGTTTAAAGTAGGTCTCTTAGAAACACCAATATGTTGTGCTCTTTTATATAATGTAATAATTTATCTTTTAAATTGGTGTATTTGACCCTGTACATTTAATATAATTACTCAGGTGATTAAATAAATCTACCATCTTCCCATTTAATTTCTACTTGTTACTTTCTATCTGCCCCCTTATTTTTTTCTGCTTTATTTTGGACTATGTGTTCCCTATAATTCCATTTTTAACCATTATTGGCTTATTACTTATTCCTTTTCATAAAATTTTAATGGTTTCTTTAGTCTTTACATTCATCTTTAAAGATAGCCTATTTTATTTTACTTTACACATACTGTAAGGATATTATGACAGTATAGTCTGAATCCCTTACTCTCACTATGCTCTTTTGACATATTTTACTTTTATTTACATTATAAGTAGACATTGCATTGCTACTGTTTTTTCTTTAGGCAGTCAGTAAACTTTTAAAATGATTAAAAATAAAAATTAATTTTATATTTACATTCATGGTTCCATTACTTTTGCTTTTTATTTCTTCTGTAAATCCAGGTTTCTGATTAGTATCACATGCTTTCAGTCTGGTATGGAACATCCCTGGGATTATATTTGGTATAGTACATCTCTGATGGTCATAAATTTTGAGATTTTTTTCTCTGAAGATGATTTTCTTTCATTTTATTTTGTTTTTGGGTACTAGCGGTTGAACACAGGGCACTCACCACTGAGCCACATCCCCAGCTCTATTTTGTATTTTTTTTTTTTCAGAGACAGGGTCTGAGTTGCTTAGTGCTGTCCTTTTGCTGAGGTTGGCTTTGAACTTGCGATCCTCCTATCTATGCCTCCTAAACTGCTGGGGTTACAGGTGGGTGCCACTGCACTGGTTCCATCATTTTATTTTAAAAAATATTTTACTGAGAAAAGTATTGTGAATTAATTGTTTTTCTCTCTGTACCTTTAAGACGCCCCTTAGTTTTCCTTGTGTTGTTTCTAATGAGAAATCTGCTGTATTTCTTACCTTTGTTCTTCTGTATAAAATGTTTTTTCCTCCCAGCTATATTCAAGATTTTCTCTTTGTCTCCAGTTTTCAGCAGTTTGAATATGATGTATCTAGTTGTTTTCTTTTGTATTTTTGTATTTTTCTTTCTTGGTGTTCTCTGAACTTCTTAGATCTGTAGTTTTGAGTCATGAATTTTGGAAAACTCTCAGCCATTGTTTCTTCAGAAACTTTTTTTTTTCCCCTACACTGTTCCTTCCCTCTTTTCCTTATGATATTTCAGTTGTATGTTATTAAACTGTTTGATTTTGTTTCATGGTTCTTGGATGTACTTTTCATTTCTTTCCACCCATAGTTCCCTTTGTGCTTCACTTGTTAATTTCTATAAACTTATCTGAAGTTTCATTTACCCTTTTTCTCTGTTGAATCAAGTCTGTTGTGTAGCCTCTTTTTTAAATTTTAATTTCTATCATTTCTATTTGATTTTTTGTTACAGTTTCAGTATTACTACTGAAATTATCCATATTGCTTTGCAGGTTGTCTCCTCATTAGAATATTTTGTATTCTAGTAATTTTAATTCCCATCTGATATTTCTAACATGTGTTTTGTATCTGAGACTGGATCTATGCTTTGTTTCTGAACAATTTATGTTTTTTACTTTATTGGATTTCTCCTAATTTTTTGTTGGCAGCCAAACATCTTGTGTAGGACAGTAAAAGTTAAGAAAAAAATTGTGTGTGCCTGGAATACCTTTCCTTCTGCTAGGCTTTTCATATGGGGAAGTTGGGTCAGTAATGTTAGAAGTTGGGGTTTATTTGCATTTTGCTGTTAGTATGGTAACTTTCTGTGTAACACCAACTTTCAATAATTAACTTTAACTTGTGCTTATGATTGGGGCTGGTTTGTCAAAAAGTTTTCTGAATATCTGTTCCACCCTCTGCTTTAGATTTTCTCTTTGATCTGTGTCTCAGAGAGCATCCGTGTCTTCATGATCTTGCTTCTTTCCCCAAAGTAGAATGCTGTTCTTC